GCCGCGCTACCCGGCGGTGCCGCCGGCCTGCGCCGCCTCAGCGGGCTGCTCCGCGCCGCGGTGTGCGGCCGAGGCAAGGCGCTGCCTCTGTGAGACCGGCCCGGGCGCCGCGGTGAGCTCGGCTGTGCGGCCGCACCGGAGGAGGAGCGGCCGTGTCCCCGCTGGAGTCCCTCGCACACGGACCGTGAGCCGGCTCCGGGACGGGGGACGCCGCTTCTCTTCGCCTCCTCCACGTCCTGACACGTTTTCCTCGCCAGCGCCCGAGAAGCAGCAGCAGGGCTGGCGGCCCGGAGCGGCCCCGGTGATGCTTAGCTGTAGGTGCTGTGTGCGGGGTCAGCCTGCCGAGCCGCCCCCGAGCTCGTTATTTGCCTTACAGCGCTGTCGGCTCCACAGCCGTGCCTTGGCATCGCTCCACCTCTGGGTGGGGAGCTGACAGCATCTCGCTTCTACCTCCAGCGTGGGACCCTGCGGCTGCTGCAGCGGCTGCTGCAGACCGAGATCGGAGCCGATGCGGTGTCATTATGGACTTGCCCGTGACTGAGGAGCAGCTGAGGAGCGCGAAGCTGACGGATGCTAGTACACGAAGATGATTTAGCAAAATGCGATCGAGTCTGGGGGAGAACATTGAAAAATTAACTGGTATTACCTCATTTTGTGCTGACCCCTACACTATGAACACATACTGTTTTTGCTGTCACCTCAGACCAGTGGTGAATATGAAGACTGTGGCCACTGAACTGCATTTCTTTCTAAAAAGCAGCTTTAAAATAACCATCCAGTAAGTGAAAAAAACTTTCCTCGGGTTGTGGATCACAAACACTGCCCATAATTGTAAGGGGAGGGGGTGTTCCTGCATGATGATGAGAGGATGCAAAGAGCTAATGTTGGCTAAGAGCATTGGCAGGCACTGCTGCCTTACAGCGGCTCTTAAGGGACCAAACTGGGCTTTAAAAGAGGAGCTTCAGCTCTCAGAACTTTACTTTTGTGTATATGTATTGCTCTCTGAACTTGGGCAGGACTTGCTTACTTGTCACAGCATGACCTTCAAAAATAGATTTGCCAGTAACTGGAGCTCTGCTTCAGTGCAGAAACCGAGCCTGCCTTAGGAGGGTGCTGAGTTCAGGCTGACAGAGCTGGGTGCTCCAGTTTGGGCTGTGTACTGACTGGACTGCTGCAAGGAAATGGGACAACGGGCCCTCACCTGCACAGAGCCACCAGTGAGTATCTCACTGAGCATTTGTGCCTTTTGGAGAAAATAAAGCCACTGCAATACTTACCTGCTATCACTATTAGTTTTAACATATTCACCAAATATTTTTCTGCATCAAACTGAAATTGTTAAAGGCGGTACTTAAGTGTACATAGATTGCTTTAATAAAACTATTTGTGTCCAGTTGTCAGTATAGACATTTCACTAATGGTCACTTTTTTCCATTAAGAATGTAGATCAGAGCTATCAGAATAGCATTAAATTAGCTCTCTGGTTTTAAAATTTTATTCCTAACAGCAG